ATGAAAATTTAACATAATGACCAGTCACATAATATACATAAACTAATACTAAATATGAAATCAAAATTATTACTTTGACCAAGAATCCACAATCTTCACACGAGTTTTGGTAAAATAGTATAGTATCATTCCTTTTCCTAGGAATTTTCTAATGGGAGAGAAAACCAACTGAAAATGAAAATATGTATAATATGAAAATTGAACTATTTTATTAATTATAGGTATATTTATACAACAAATGCATTTATGCTAATAAATATGGTCACTAAATTTACTTTGGTTTTGAAAGTTATTTCAAAGTTGGTTTTGAAAGTAATTTTTAAGATTGTTGGTCTGAGGTAAAACGCTCCTTTGTCCTTTCAAAACATATATATATTTCTGTCCTAAACTGCAGATTTCCTAAAATACATAGATACTAGCTTTATAAAGACATTTTACCAGATTCCTGTCTACTTTCCGAATTACACTTAAATTATATTTTGTGATGCTTTTGAGTTAAGTACCCGTATTTATGGCTTATGCTCAACTATGAAGTCAATTTTAGATTTAAAAGGAGCCTTAAAAAAACACAGAGGTCACAGACAAGTCAAAGTTCACTAAGATTTAATTACATGACAAAGCAGTGAAGGTCTGAGGTTAGAACCTAGCACCGCTACTATTAAACAGACTATTTGAAAGGTTGAACGTCTCTCCTTTTACTATATTAGACTAATCAGTTCTGTTTACAGCCCATTGTATTATATTTATTTCCTTCCCCATCCACACTCGGCCATCATTTTCTAAAAAGAGCTCAATATATGCACCAGAGATCTAGGGATTCCAGTGTCTTCTCTGGGCACCCATCTGTATATACCTTCCATCCATAATGTTATTTTAGTATGTCCCTATGCAGAGACCTTCTCCCAAAACTGTAAACTCACACCAAACAACGTGAATCAGGGAAAAAGATTTAAGTCCTTCTGAGAATTAAGATTTAGCCTCTTCTGTTCTTTCGCCCCCTAGTTAAACTTAAAGGAATTCAGGTTGTTGGGCATTTTGCCCGTTTGCTACCACATTTTTAGTGTTAAGGGCCAAGATGCAACATGCCAGGCATATTGCTTAGATCAAACCAGACAGAGGGATTCGCAAAGGGCTGCCCTTGCCGGAGAACCTGTGCTCCTGCAGACCCCAGAGGCAGCTCGTGGCCCATCTAGTACCCATTTCAGCCACACTGTTTTCTTGAGGGAAACTGAACACAGACAGAAGGACTAGCTTGTGCCACAGAATTCCCTAGTGCAGTTCCTACATGGGTAACAAATTCTCTAGAGAAATTACTCTGGGCTCCTACCTCCTGCCCTTCTGCCTGCCGGGAATGAAGCAATTCTCCCATGAGCCAAGGCAGACTCGGTGCTTATAAAAAGCATGGGTATTCAAAGTGCACCCAGGGGACTTAGAAACACAGCCAGCAGCCGGTCTCTGTCAGGGTGTATCAAAGCAGGAGGAGGTGGCAGTACAGAAGATAGCTGTCATTTCACAGCTGACCTCTCGGGACGGGGTTTTCTTTGAGTTTCTGAGCTCTCAATGATGACGCTGGGGCAAAACAATGCGTGGCTTGTCGACTGTGACTGGATGACTCCTCAGGGGAAAGCCCTAAAGGATAGTGAATTGAGACAATATTCCTAATATAGACAAACTGGAGACTTGGAAAGGTAGGAGGAGATACCAGAATAATAATAATAATTAATTAATTAATTAATATTAATGCTGCTCCAACTTACGTCCCCATCCAACCATCCAATCTCAAGCTTACATTATTTTCCCAAGATCATTTTCTTTATTTCTTTCTTTTTTTTTTTTTTTTTTTGTTTTGAGTCAGAGTCTCACTCTGTCACCCAGGCTGGAGCACAGTGACATGCTCACGGCCACCGCAGCCTTGACCTGCTGGGCTCAGGTGATCCTTCTGCCTCTGTCTGGAACCACAAGTGTGTGCCACCATGCCCAGCTCATTATTGATTTATTGTAGAGACCCGGTCTCGCCAAGCTGTCCAGGCAGGTCTCGAACCACTAGACTCAGGCAATCCTCTCACCTCGGCTGGGCTCAGGCAATCTACTTGCCTTAGCCTCCCAAAGTGCTGGGATTACAGGCTTGAGCCACCACGCCCAGTCACTAAGATCTTTTCTAGGACATCCTCCTAACTTTTAACTCCTACTTCCATAATTTCCCTATATTTGTTCCAAATTGTTTCTCCTGTTCTAGGATTATTTCTACAAAAATTATGAGTAGTGTCATCTGTCATATCGCCTACTTAGGTATCACTGAGCTGTAAGTGCTATACATAAGTAGATGTTTATCCTTCCCTAACAATCAGTGCCTCCTAAATTCAGCTTGTGGCCTTCATGATTTGCCTTTGCTGAATCTGGATATGAATAAAGATCAAGTTCACAAACTTTATTCAGGAAAGGGTAGGCTCAAATTTCTGATCGGAGATCCTCTGGTTTAATTTCATCTTTGCACAGAGAAGAACCACACATATACTGAAAAGGGCTTGTGACAATCACACTCTCACACTCTTCCTGGGCCGGTTCTTTGCAATAATTTTCTTGGGGCAATTCAGAGCCCTTCAATTTGTTGGGCAGAAGAAATCAACCCCCTTTTTTTTTCCAATTATCAATCCTTTATTATTTGAAGATATAAAAAATTTTTGTGACCTTTTACTATTTCCAAATCCATGACTCGTTAACACTTCATTTTACAGAAATAGAAGTAGAGTTTCAAAAAGATTACTAACTTTCTTCAGGTCACCTAACTCAGACCTTTTATTGAGCAATCATATTTCTACAGTCATTATTAAGTGGGGTACTGAAAAGTCTGTATAATAAAACATCAATAACTATCTGAACAGTTTTAGGCCAAAGTAATCTCATTCAGCTCCAAAATGACTTGGGGACAGAGAGGGAGAAGGAAGAAAGAATTAAGAAGGAAAAACATGGCCAGAAGCAGTGGCTCACACCTGTAATCCCAGCTCCCAACACTTTGAAAGGCCAGGGCGGAAGGATTGCTTGAGCCCAGGAGTTCAAGACCAGTCTGGGCAACATAACAAGACCTTGTCTCTACAAAAAGAAAAAGAAAAAAATGCAAAAATTAGCTGGTTGTGGTGGTGTGTACCTGTAATCCCAGCTGCTCAGGAGGGGGGCTGAAGGATCACCTGAGCCCAGGAGGTCAAGGCTGCTGTGAGCCATGAGTGTGCCACTGCACTTCAGTCTAGGAGCAAGACCTCATTCAAAAAAGAAGAAGAAAGAAGAAGGAGGAGGAGGAGGAGGAGGAAGAAGAAGAAGAAGGAAGAAGGTTTAAAAGCCTACTCTATCAGATTGGATATCTACTCTGACCAGATGCCCTAAGTAACAAACTGTCTAACTTTCCATGTCATTTAAACTGATGTTAAACAGCAACTTTATTCCTCTGGCACAAATCCACCACCAAAAACTCCCTTTAAGAGGCAAAACTTTCTAAATCTATATTCACCATTGGAACGTCTAAAACGTAGGCTTGGTCGCAATATACAAGTTAGAGCAACAAAGTGTTATTTAGGGCTCTTAAAAAATACGATTTAATAACAACCAAACATAAAATTGCATTCAAGAAATTCTATTCCATTGACTATAATAATGACTTTCCCGGAGAATAAAATAGTCTCCATAAGTGAGTTTTTTAGGCACTGAAACTGGAATGATTTTATTGTGCGAAACGGAACCACTTGTTTATGAGTTCATTTTTCCATATCCCCGTTTCCTTAAACAGGGGGAACATGCTTTACTTGTATGCATGTCTTCAGTGTGGTAATCCAACCAATAGCTCCATGGTAGAAACTCCATTTTTAGATAAGAAAATTGAGGTTCAGAAAGATACTGTTTTTCCCTATATTCACAAAACTTTTAAATAACAGACCTAACGTTTAAATCCATCCCAAATCTTACAAGTATCAAAGTCAAGTCTCTCTGTACCAAATTACAGCTCTGGGCTCTAAAAACAATAATAATAAGGAAAATAGTTTTTACCTGCAGATTAAGTAAGTTTTTACCTTCAGATTAAGCAGCTGTGGTTTCAAAGTTCCAAGGCTGCTCTACAAAGTTATCTTGAAAAAACACTCTATCACTGTACAAGTTGTGAGACATGGTATCCTGTATTAGTGTCTAAACACTAATATCTCTATTTTGCTGTTTCCAACTGCTAACAGATTCAGCAGGCTTACTATATCAGTAACTTCTTAACCAAAAATCATAATTTCTCAGGGTGAGCACAGTGGCTAAGGACAGTAACGGCACCTGTAGTCCCATGTATGCAGGAGGCCCACTTGAGCCCAGCAGCTCAAGTTCAGCCTGGGCAACACAGCAAGACTTTATCTCGAAAAAAAAAAAAAAAATCATAAATACAAATAAATGGACATAACTCTGAATTGTACCCCATATCTTTAAAATAAAAAATTTTTTAAATAATGGAAATAAATGGATAATCTCTGGAATTGTAAATTATACCATATCTTATCTGTGCAGTAACGTACTGACATCTTCTTTCCTATTGCTGAAAATTAATGTACTTTTTATACTATGGAGGATCTCCGACAATACTTCCAAGTAGAAACGAATGCGAAAATTGCAAACTCCAAAATTCAGCTCCAAGTAACGCACTTAAAAGTAGGAAGTTATCTACCAGAAAAGACAGGTGGCAAGGAATAGGTTTGATGTGTGGCAAAAGACAGACAAACAAACAGGGGAGGGGAAGAAGAAATAATAAGGTGAGGAAGCCGAAAGGGAGAAGAGACAAAAAGACGGAATGACAGCAAGAGGATCGTAAAAACCCTCAGAACATTCCTTAGCATTTAGCATTCACCAGGCTAACACGAGATAGGGCCGAGCGGCGTTGGATGAGGTTCCAGATGCACAGGAAGAATTGCATCATTTCTCCCACCAAAGTGAAACCTGATCTCAAAGGAAGAACTTCCACTCTATTTTCTTCTACTCACCAAGCAGCCAAACACAGGAAGAGTCATTAAGTCGGCGTCACTTTCTGTGCGTCTCAGTTGTCAGAATCCTGTAAGATAAAGTCCGCAAAAGTGTTCAGAAACTGGGAAGGGGTATGGAAGAATTAGGCATTGGGGTTATTAACCACAGTATTAGCATTAGCATCAGAATGGCTAACTCATAATTTTCTAATCTTAAGAAAATCAACAGCAAAAAATAAAATAAAATTATGGATATAGATCCAGGTATACAGATGACAGCATGTCACCCATCCAAAACAGCACTGCATCAATTCAGCAGTGTTACTCGAGTATTTACATTTCCTATGCATAAGGCAAAGGAAGATTTAACATGAAGACTCTTGCACAGAATCCTTCTAGGCTCATGAAAATCAGTATCTAATTTTATATCCACACTTTTGTGTTATTTTTATTTAAGAAGAGCACCTCAAATTCTATAAACTTCAGGCATCCAAAAATCTTTCCCTGCCTCTGTTGCTGAAGTATGTGACAAACGAGGACAAATATCTGACTTCCGAGCCTTCAATTTAGTGGGAAACAGTGAGTAACTGCACTGCAGTATGGTAGGCTAGGTTCTGGGTCCAGAGGAATCGTGCTGTCAGCAGGAGTCAGAAGAATCTGGAAGGGATGTGACACCTGAATCATCTTGAAGGATGAGCCGCAGATTCGGAGAGTGTGGGGAGAGGCAGGAAAGGGAAAAGCATTCCTTGCAAAGGGAAAGGCGTCTGCTAAGGCAAAACTACCGTAAGAGACCCAGAGAACCTAACAACAGTGGGGCTGCCGTCCTTGGCTCAGAAGTGACAGGAGCTAGGAAAGCAACATTTCCATGGTCTCTCAGAGACACCGCCCTGCAGGCATGTTGGAGCATGCAGAGACACTGGGAAGGGCAATTAGGGAATAGGGGGATTTCGAAAATGTATTTTCTGGGAAAACATTTCCAGCAATAGGATGAATAACTCACCAGAGAATGAACTAATGACTGAACAAACAGATGTGAGGCTGTTAAAACAGCCCAATCGAAACAATATTGAAAGCCTAGAACAGATACTGACCCATACATCAGAGGGAATCAGAATGACACAGTGACCAGTGGGCCAGGGGGACTGTGGACAGGAGGAATAAGTGAGTGACAGAAACAGAGGTTGATGGTCCCAAAGTTTTCAATCTGGGAAACTAGCAATACCAGGGCCCTGTTTAGCTGAATTAACAACCGCAGAAAGAGAAATATCTTTGTAGAGAAAAGGGTAGAATTGTATTCCTTTTTAACACATGGAGTTTGACAGGCCTCTAGAAAAAGTAGTTTTAATTTCATAAAGGCAGAAATTTTTATTGTTTTGTTGTTGTTTTCTTTTATCCCCCAGGACTGTACTCCCAGCTCCCAAAGTAGGCAATCAATAGATATTTGCTGAAAATATGAATCAATGACACGTACAGGCACGTTAAGGAAGCACTGGTCTCTACACTATTGCTGAAGATAAAGACCAATCAGGAAAAAGGTACGGATTATTAAGAGAGAGAACTGCGGCTGGAATCGCAAGAAACAATCATTTGAAAACATCACTGTTAGGTCACACTCCCAGCAGGGCCTCCAGAATGTTAGGTCAGGCCTACTGGGGTTATGGGCATCTGCGATTCGATGCCACATGAAAGAGCAAAGAATTGCACACAAGTTGGTTTAAAAAATATAGTTTATAGCCGGGCTCAGTGGCTCAGCCTGTAATCCCGCGCTTTGGGAGGCTGAGGTGAGTGGATTGCCTGAGCCCACGGGTTCGAGACTCGCCTGGGCAACTTGGCAAGACCTCATCTCCACAATAAATCAAAAAAATAAATAAATAAGCTGGGCGTGATTGCGCGTGCCTGTAATTCTGGCTACTCGGAAGGCTGAGGCGGAAGGATCGCTGGAGCCCAGCGGGTCGAGGCTGCGGTGGCCGGGAGCGGCCACTGCACTCCAGTCTGGGCGACAGAGTGAGACTCCAACTCAAAAAAAAGAAAAGAAAAAAGAAAATATAGTTTATTGAGAAAGTAAGTTAGAGAGAGAGAGATTCACCTCCCCAAGGGAAGGAGGGAAGGGGGCCAAAGCTTAAGAATCATGACAGTGGCCATAACTCAAAGAGCACATGGCCACGCCACAGTCTTATAAGGCAATGGAGAGTGGCTACTTGAGGTTGAAAACTTTTAAACGTTCCCCTTTGCCAGGTTGGGTGGCTCAGCCTATAATCCTAGCACTTTGGGAGGCCGAGGCAAGTGGATTGCCTGAGGCTACGGGTTCGAGACCCGCCCGGGCAACTTGGCAAGACCTCATCTCTACGATAAATCAAAAATTTGCCTGGTGTGGTGGTGCGTGCCCGCAGTCTCGGCTACTTGGAAGGCTGAGGCGGAAGGATCACCAGAGCCCAGCAGGTCGAGGCTGCGGTGGCCGGGAGCGTGCCACTGCACTCCAGTCTGGGCGACAGAGTGAGACTCCAACTCAAAAAAAAATGTCGTTAAGATGACTGGGTGGTGGTCTGCTCCACGTCATCACGAAGGGGCAGGTAAGTGCAGGTACTGATGTCAGGTGATGGACAGCAGGCAGATGGGTGGGTTAGTCACAAGAATGCTGCCAAGATGATGGGGTCTGCCTGTCACCAAGGTCACAAAGGGCTATTAGATTAACCTGGGTCTTATGGGTGGAGGCAAATATTTGAAATAGAAAAGCTAATTAATACAAAACAAGCTGGGGATAGGGGTTGTAAAACAATTATCAATAGCTACATCTGAGAAACTGGTTCTGTCCTTGGTTAGTGATTAGAGAGTAAGTTAAGTGCTAGAAAGGCATGAGATTTAGGCAATATTAAAATGACTGCCCATTGGGTATGTTACATCCATGTTATGCCCTTTCAACAATGTTACACATAAGAATTATTTGAGTGGTCAAAATCTTTTAGAAATAAAGATAACTAATCACTCTAAACAAGTTCTAGTACCATATTCATAAAGTGCCCACTATGGCCAATGCACAAGGCAAGACACAGTGTTTCTATTTCTTTAGCGGATACTAAAGAAGACTTATTGAAATCACTGTGATTCCTATAACAAGGTGAAAACAAACTATTTACGGAAGATAACCTAAATAGAATCAAACATAGTAGAAGATCCAAACATCTTAAATAGATATCAACCAATTATCTATGAGATAAATTAAAAATCCTATTGGAAGCTGGGCTTAGTGGCTCAGCCTGTAATCCCGCGCCTTTGGGAGGCTGAGGTGAGTAGATTGCCTGAGCCCGCGAGTTCAAGACCCGCCTGGGCAACTTGGCAAGAGCTCATCTCTACAATAAATCAAAAATCAACCAGACGTGGTAGCCCACACCTATAGTTCCAGCTACTTGGAAGGCTGAGGTGGAAGGATCGCCGGAGTCCAGCGGGTCGAGGCTGCGGTGGCCGGGAGCAGCCACTGCACTCCAGTCTGAGCGACAAAGTGAGACTCCAACTCAAAAAATTAAAAAAAAAAAATCCTAATGGAATCAATAACATAACTGCAAGCTCCAAGATGAAACAAAGTCTACATATAAAGAAGAGAATATCTTAATTAAATCTGCTATGATCCCCCTCGTTTTTACCCCCACACTAAACCAAAACAAATTTACATTTGGATCTTCTATTAGTTGAACATGCATAAACCCAAGAAGAAAACAAAATGTATCCAGAATAATAAAAGCAGCATTTTTTATAATCTATACAAAAGAATTGCTAGGAAGAATCCAGTATTCCTCTGACAGCAAAAAGATGCTACTGTCTACATCTGCTGATAAGCCCGTCAGTCTCTGGTAGTCTACAAGGCTGAGGATACACTAAGGAAAGTCAGCAAGAGATGACAATTTACATCTTTCTGGCAAGATTCCAAGCAGTTCAGATAACGGGAAACTGCATAAATAAATCCAGATCTGAACATGAACCTTAGCCACATAAGATAAAGAAGCAAGGATCAATTCAATCCCCCAATTACTAATCCACAGATAATGTAACAAGCTATACTATTAAGTTACCATATGCAATTCTGTAGGATTCACTAGGGCCATCTTGACAACTGGTATTTTCTCTCAGAAAACATTTCAAAAGATCTTATTCTCTTCCAATCAGCACTATTTTCTTCTTAATTAACTCATCCACTATTTAACTACATTCATTTACTGTATTTTACTATACTACTCAAAGGAATAAATGTTAATATTAAGAGTATAAACCAACCTTTACTTTTGTAATAATCCAGAGAGCATATCTGCTTTAAATGGTGTGGGGTTTTTTGAAGTTTTTTCTGTTTTTGGTTTTTTGGTTTGTCACTTAAGTGATCAGAAAGTAGAAACAAACAGGTATTAAAAATGACCCCAAACGGGCTGAATGGTCCAGTCAGCATAACATGCTTTCACAATATAATAAAGACATCTCTTCCTTTGGTTTCATCTGAACTTAGAGTTCACCTGCATGATTCAGGGCTACCCATATGGTAGTCAGGAGACACACAGCTATTGAGCACTTGAAATGTGACTTGTTATAAAGGTGTTGTATAGCCGGGCACAGTGGCTCATGCCTGTAATCCCAGCACTTTGGGAGGCGGAGGCGAGAGGATTGATTGCCTGAGCCCAGGGGTTCGAGACCAGCCTGGGCAACATGGCAAGACCTCATCTCTACAATAAATCAAAAAAATTAGCCAGGCGTGGTGGCACATGCCTGCAGTTCCAGCTACTTGGAAGGCTGAGGCAGAAGGATCGCCAAAGCCCAGCAGGTCGAGGCTGCAGTGGCCGTGAGTGTGCACAGCACTCCAGCCTGGACAAAGAGTAAGACTCAAACAACAAACTAATGAATTAAAAAATACAAGTGTTGTACTTCAAAGACTTTCTAAGAAAGTAAAGCATCTCCATAATGTTTATATTGATTACATATTAAAATGGTCATATTTTGAAGAAACCAGGCTAAATATATTACTAATTTTACCTACTTCTACTTTTTTCTTTACTGTGGATACCTGGCAATTTAAAATTACACATGTGGCTCACATTATATTTCTA